AGACCTCATCTTCGAAGTCGACGGCGAACACCCTTCCTTTCGAAAGGTGACGTCCCGCGGCAAGCCCTCCGACTCCGACCTCCTCATCATGTCACTGCTGGTCAGCGAGATTGGGGACCCCGATGTGTCCACCGTCCAAGCGGCGGTAGAAGCCGCCCGTGTCGACAATGAGACGGTTGAATGGGATTGTCAGGAATATGTGCTGGAAATTCTGGAAGCGTGCGAGCAGGAGGCAGTATTAGATCCAGATGATGAGCATTATGTCGAGGTGATGAAGTTCTTGAAATCGAAGCGGGGGCCCACACTTTGATGGTTGATATTCATATTTGTGGTTGTCGTTGTTTTGACGGATGTGGATGCCGAGTTCGGCTTTCGGCGCCGATGTCGGTTCGGCACGGGATTTCAATCTATGAGTAACGAGGTTGCATTTATGGCGATTAGAAATACGGATACTTAGTTCAATGTTGTTAAAATGGGCCACAACTTTCGGATACCTGGTTATGAGTAATTCCTCAATCATAATAGTAAGTTACTGAACATCCATATCATGAAGCTGGGCAAGGCTCTTCGACAGCGTGGACTGTGAGCACCACTCTCTTCGCCTGTGCTTCAATGCAGCCTGACGATTATTGAATCTGGCAGTTTGATATGTTATGCAGGCCAGCAAATCGGCGCTTTCTATCTCCGCAAATGGGTCGTAAGCCGTCTATCTCAAGAACAAAGATTTCTGGACGGCAATGAATTGGACACTACTGGTACAACCCTAGGTAGTAAGATAGTCGGCAGCTCTTAAAGCAGCAAATTTAAGATTTCAAGACTGCAAAGCTTTCCTCAATCCAGCAACCCTTCCACGCCCAAGTCATTCTTTGTCAAGATGTCCTTACTTCCAGCCCAGGGATTCTTGTTCATATACCGACGGAAATATCATCTTGGCAATCAAATCAACGCCCGTGTTAGTCCATGGGGCAGTAAATGTCTCAATATTGACCTCAACATAAAGGGCTTTCTTTCCGTTAACCCTTGACCAGCTTTGCAGCAGCCTCTCGGGGGTCGTCTGCTCTGTGACTGCAGAGAAATCAGATTTGAGTACATATCCAGTAGAATGGACAGGAAATGGTTCGAAGAGACCAGTAATAATAGGCCATGTCTCCGGTAGGGATGGTTATGCGCCGCAAAATTATATAGTGACTACTGATCATTTAATTCAGAGCTTCTACCACTTAGCACTAAATTTAATGCGAACAGGGTTTCTTTATTAAATCTATTGGGGTTGAAGTTGGGAATTTGTGACGACAGCCTGCCAGGCTGCCACTCAATCTCTTTCGAAGTCCTCCTAGCACCTCCAGGGTTCGGGGCCCTAACACAAGTTTCATACTATTATATTTAGGATTGCATAGCTGAAATTGACTCACTCGCTCTACTTGGATTCCAGTTTCATACTGTAGTTGAAGCATTTAAATCCTGAACAGGCGACATAATTAGACTATACGAATCGTGGGACCGTCTGATCCGCCTGGATCGCACCTTATATAGCTTTATACTGTGACATGATGCAACCTGCGTGGCCTTCGGTTGGCCAAAACAAAGCACACGTAGATGCCAGCTATTAAAGAAGAATTTTGTAGTACACTGTACAAAACACATTATATTCCTATTCTGTACTCTTTCTCTCTGTTCCGAGCATTTATGCCAGATGACTTAGTCTCACTTACCCCTCCATAAGAGATATATCATATCGACCCACCAATTGCGGGGCAATCTCAGCTGGCCACACTCACATCGTCCGCACTGACACAGTACTAATACATAGTACTAAGCTGGGGTGGGAACAGATCGTGTTGATCTCTTTGCTTAGAGATCGAGAAAGTCCGTGGCAAGGGTGGTCGGTCCTATCATATCTTGTATACGGAGTACTGTGGACTCCGGCGTACAGCTGGCAAAATCTATAGAAGGAAACGATCTACGAACACACCCACAAGGATCAACAGAATCTTTTCGCACCACACTACGCAGTATCTCCATGGTCTCATAAATGACGAGTCGGGCGGGAACCGCGGGGCAGCCTGGAACTATATATATAGCTGTAATATCTACCTCTTGAGATTTCTCTTGAATTAATCACTATTCATCTAGCACCGCACAGACTCCTACATATTAGTTCCATTAACAAGCCGCTTTTTCCTATTATCTGAACAATGTCTGAGAAAGTGAGATATACCAACCCTACCCCCTGCTCTTCATACTAATTCGTGTATAGTCGATTGTGATCCAGTTCGAAGATCCTACAATATGGGAGGAGAGGCGTGAGGCTGTTGACGAGTATGTTACAGTGGAACGAAAAGTCTGAGGGCCACTAGAAATACGCTATAGCTGACAATTTCAGCATCCTCAAGAAATTCACTGGAAGAGGCTCGGACGACTATCCCCAAACCAGATCACTCCCACCAATAATACTTGGCATTGAGTATAGCTCCTACCCTTCTCCTTCTCGTTCCTCTTTGTTGGAGGGGGGTGCTATTTAACTTATGATTGTATCGGTTCTAACGTTCTGATTTGATCCAGAATCAATGACGAAGGTATTGAAAAATTGAGGGAACTCGACGGAGTAACTGTCAGAGTGGATGGAGAAGAATAGTTGGCTAGCCAGTATGGTTAAAGTTTCATGGTACCAATACTCATATATAACCTCAAGTCCCTACTTCGAAGTTATCATCTATTAATCATCTTAATATTTCAAATAGTAATTCTGAGTGAAACCCTATCGTATATCCGTGGTAGTATAGGGGGTTTCGTCGTTAACACGATATATCATATCAACACCAACATACTAAGTACTAGCTGCACAAGCGTAGTCAGTTCATCTACTACCTAGGCCGCATGTATCACAACCAAGGGTTTAGGCTCATAAGTCATATCTTATTCATAACGATTCGCTGTAGATCCATGGTACATATGCTGCGTAAATCGTGATGGAGGCTTTCTGATTAGCCTGCCGAATCAGTATCGGCATATCGATCGTTACAGCATGATCCTTGAAATTGTAATAGAATCAAAGGGTACGTCAACGAAAAGAAGCTATTGCCCCCATCCTGGAAGGGCATTCACCATCTTAATCCTATCCGTCGCCACGCCTCCTTCCTCATTGCCGCTGCCGTGTCCTGTGTCCTCACCACGGCCCCCTGATTCTCAACCGCCCGACGCAACAAGAAATGAAGACACTCCTCGGTGGTTCCCCACGCCAGACACTTGAAGACTTTAGGAAACACAGATGCCTCCACGGGGCTTTTCCCGCTCGAAGAAGCGTCGGACTCCGGTCGATACTCGGCCAATAATCCGCAGCTCACCTCGTCCGCCATACCCTGCAACTGGCCCATCTCCAAGGGTATCGTGGGTAAGCCGTTTAGAATCCGATGTCTCGAAATCGAATATGCCCTCCGCACACTTTCCGCGTTATGTGTTGCGACGAAAAGCCTAGCATCCGGGAACTTTGTGTCCTGTAATTCTTGGAACGGAGATTGCCGCGAAAGCAGACTCTCCACGATGTGGTTGTAATTCCGGTCTGTGTCAGCCTTGGTATCATGAATCCTGTCCCGAATATCGTGTTGGATGTATGCGCCCCGGACTAGCTTGATCCCCAGCGCCCAACCCTCCTTTCCGGCAAGAGTGAGATGGCGATGGACGTTCTCGGCGGACGATTTCAAATACGCCTGCACGGTGTTAAGCACGACGATCCTGCCGTCGCGGTTGAACTGCCTCATGAGATCGATCGTCCAGGCGTCAATGGCTGGTTGGAAGATCTGCTGCTCGGCGTCGATCCAGAACCGGGAACCCTGGGCGGCAGTTGCTTCGCAGATTTCTGTAATAGCTTGCTTGATGCGTGGTGGTGGAACGAGATCGCCGCGGGCGAGAGCTTCGACGGCTGCAGGGCCGGCGCCGGTGAATCTGATTTGTGTTAGAGTATGTCATGTACCACGTTTCAGGTTGGTCGTGCCATACTTGATATTCATGTAATCCCCCTTGCCGACCATCCGGAGTGTCCGTAAGTTACCCTCCTTCCATTCGTCCACTGCACGGTCTTCGATGGCCTGGTCATTCTTCCATTCTTCCACGTGGGAAGCAGCTCCGTCAATTTTTGCGACAGACTCCCGGGCATATCCGAGGATGACGCCCTTGAAGCCGAGAGTCTTCATATCTTGAACCGTTTTACGGACTTCCGTCTCATTGACACCGGCACAGAAGTGGTTGTAGATGGTTGCGCGGAGGATGTAGTTCATGATAGGGTTCTTAGACGGGCTAAGCAGCGGTGACTTGGAATCGACCACATATTTCAGCACCGCGATGGAGGGTTTCAAAAGCGGCGACGCCATTGCTGACGTCAGGAATAAGGAGCGAAGCAACGTCTTCGTCGGCAAGTCCGCGAGAGGCGCCCTCTTTTGCGCAGGCGATGCATGGAGGCTTGCATTGTGGGCGGGCGACGACGCCGCCGCAGCATCGGCCAGCGGCTTGGACGCAGAGTAGAACGTCTCTGGCTTTCTCGGCCAGAATACCTTTGGCTTCATTGTGATTGACTTGTGTTTGACAATTACTGGTATGATCTTACCCTGCTCTACTATTTATCTTACGATCTCGTCGCCCCGTGGGAGGGGTATGCCTGCCATTCGCACTTTTGCTCCGGGGAAATGGACAGGCGGCTTGAGGACCGATTGGTCTTCGGGCGAGGATCATCGTGGATCTGGGGTGATAAGGCGAGTGAGATGTCGTCGTTGACCGAATAAGCTCTGAACAGATGGCTGTCGGAGGGGCAAGCCGCATCTCTGCTCGGTTAGGGTTTCCGCGCGGAGACGAGATGCGCCTTTCTCCTTACTTCATCCACGTAGACGGACTTTCCAGACACACCGACACGAGCATTACTCAGGACTCTGAAGTCTATATTCAAGTCTAAATCGATCATGTAATACTCCACATTCACTTACATACATACAAATCCCACCTTGGCCAATCTACGTCTCCCCCCTCAAGTGCTTGATGCCTCTCACCAGCGCCTCAGCATACGCTCCGCGCACCCCATTCTTCTCCAGGGCATACAATCCCTGGATAGTACACCCTTTCGGCGAAGAAATACTCTCCCTCAAAACCGCCGGATGCACCCCCTCCCTCAACAACCCAGCCAAGCCCTCCAACACCTGCGCCGACACCTCCATCGCATCCGGGCGTCGAAAGCCCTCCATAACAGCACCATCCATAATGCCATCAACAGCAACGGTCATGAGCGCCATGGCCGCCCCCGAAACCATCGACCCAGCATTCACCAAATCCGGCGCCACGAACTTGACCGTGCCAATCTGCTCGAAAATCCACTTCAGAACCTCCGCCCGCTCCGGCGAGAGCGCATCGTTCTCCTCAACAATCGTCATGGACTGACGCAGCCGCGCCGCCACATTAGGCATCGCCGTGACAATCACCGGCCTGTCCTCCGTCTGCGATGCGGAGCCACCATCATTCCCATACACGAACTCCATGATCTCAGCCGGCGTCTTCCCTGCCATGACGCTGATCACGAACTTCCCCGCCAGCGCCGCCGCCACGCCCGGCTCGGCCAGAATACTCTGCGCCAGGAACGGCTTGCACGCCAGCATGACGATGTCTGCGTCTTGCATGGCGCGCACATTGGCTCCGTGCGCGACGGTCACCCGCGACGAGTCTGCGGCGTATTCGGCCCGCAGCTTGGCCGCTGATGTTGCGCTTTTGGTGCTCACGGTGAAGTGTGTGATTTTGGCGGTTGCGGGTTCCGAGCGGGTGGCGTCTAAAAGCCCGCTTAGGATTGCGGAGCCCATGTTGCCTGCATGGTTTTGTTAGTGGGCTCTTCTGTGTAGGTATATAGTGGAGGTTGGGGGGGTGGTACCGCAGCCGATGAATGCGAGGGTTGTTGGCATTTTGGTTGTGTGCTTTTGTTTTGGGATTGGGGTGGTGGTGGTTGTCGGTTGTAGATGTGTTGTTTTTTGTGGTTTGGGATATGGTGGTGTTGGTTTAAGCTGTCGGGCGGAGATGCCGAGCTTGACTCATTAGATGGCTATCTTCGGTGGCCTTCGCCGCGGTCGTGATCTGGTGATGGTTCCTGGTAGAGATGGGTGGGTGGTTGGTGGGCCGCGAAGGTATCATTATTGGGGTTCTGCTTGGGTATTAGGCAACCTGGGGCGGTTTCTACTTGTCTAAGTTGACTATATACTTGGGTCAACTATGTAGCTCTAGTAAGGATGGAACGGACGATATAGAAAGAGAGGGCCCACCGCGGATCGAACGCGGGACCTCTGGCAGATTTCATACCACTAGGCCACCCGGGATGTGGAAGAGCGGTCACTGAATAATACAATATATAACAGCAAGATTCTAACCTAAACATGTCACAAATCTACAGTTCTAAACTTGGTCAGCAGTGATGTGTGTTGCACAATATTATAAGTTGTGTAGAGTTTCGGGTGTCTATGAGGAAGTTGAATCAATATGAGAGATTTAGAGCGATACTAATTACAATTAGATTGGTTGTACGTGATTTTTCTTGGGAGTAGCTTTGTCCTTGTCAAAAGCTAGTGGTTATATATAATGGTTACTACTACATTCTAGGATGAAGCAGTTAATAGGTCAAGTAGGAACGAATTTGGATCCCACTGAACCCCCATTTCCATCTAAGAGGGGGAGGAATTTGTATATCAGATAACACAGGTAGATACCAAGCATTCCAGCCAGGAAAACTGCATCTAAAGTCCCAACTCACTCACATCCGCACTCGGCAGCACCCCTTCCACCATATCCGCCACGACCCTCCCAGTCCCCAACGACAACGAGATCCCCCAAGGACCATGGCCAGAAGCCACAAAAACACCACCATGGCCATCAGTCCTCACCCCATCTCCCAGTAGATCATCGTCTACCCGACATACAACAGGCGTTCCCCGATCGGAAACAGGGCGGAAGCACAGCCCCTCACGAAGAACCTCCAGATCATCCGTGTTGCGTATCTCAGCATCCTCATCCATGAGCTTACCCATCAACTGGGCTGACACAGCCTCTAACCTCTTCATCTCATTCCGATCGATCAAACTGCGGGACTCCTCTGCCCGACCCGGCAGCGACATGTCTGGATCGTTCAGCCCAGCAATGTAGATCTCGCCGCCCTGTCGCGAGAAGATCTCCGGACTGAAGCCGCAGGAGAAGGGGTTTGAGGTAAATATAGCGTGACACCGGCCTCCGTATGTCTGTTGCTCGTGCTCCAGTGTATGTCTAGGAGAACGGAGGACGAGAGAGTATCCAGCCAACTGCGAGACGGGGATGGAGACCTGAGCGGAAGGGAAGAGATGCTCGAAGACACGCGACGTCCAAGCTCCTGCGCAGATAACAAGATGGGTACACGGGATGGTGGACTTTTCCTGTGAGACGAGGTCGACAATTCGGACGCCAGTAATATGCCCGTTGGCATCTGTAACGAGCGAAGTAGCCTTCGCCGGATGGTGGAGCTCTACACCGCGAGATATAGCCGTATCCATCAGGAACTGACATAGTTTCAGCGGATCACTGGATATTCATTAGCCTATACTCAACACTTGAAAGGATATTACCAACACCTGGGCGGTATCAGCATCACAGATCCTCTCCACCTCCACCCCCGGCCGAACTGTCAACCAAGCCGGAGCCCCCATCGCAGCCCCCAGAGTCGACCCAGCAGCAGTCTCCGCTCGACTAGCCCCCCTATCCATCCAGTTGTCACTGTGAGTACCATTCCCTCTCTTAATCGTCGCATCATAGCTCAGCGCCGTCCCTTTCATATACCCCCACCTCTCCACCCCACCGTGCTCAACGGCCAGACTCTCATGCAGCCCAAACGAAAGCTCACCTAAAGAAGCAACAGCCGGTGCAAACCAATCCCTAGCCAGAAACCCACCCGCATACCCTGACGCAGAGCTAAACAGTTGCGACGAGGATTCAACGACATGAATGTGCCCCGCTGGACGGGTCTCGGATAGGTAGTAGGCGGTTGCGGAGCCGATGATTCCTCCGCCGAGGATTACGGTTGGCATTTTGGGGGTTTGCTTGGGGGGATTCTGTGTTTTGGGTTTGTTTTGGGTTTGTGTGCCTTATTCTGGGTGATGTAGATCGGGGCTTGATATGTAATCGGGGAGGGTTACATTGCTTATCTTTGTGGGGTATTGGGGAAGTGCGGAGATTTGGCCGTCGGGTTGGATGCTATCTCAGAGGCGGTTTCTTTACGATTACTGGATGATGAGGTCGAGTGCAATGTCAGTGATTTATTACTACCTCTAAGTAAGTATGATATGAATCATTTATATCTATTCCTCAGGCAGTAAATGATGTCATGGCGAGACTGTCCGACCGATGGTGCCTTGATTTTCAGGTCCAAGAATCTTCGGACAGACGCGAGTCAATTCAGATCAAGGATCTCATCCTACTTAGACTCCATGATTGGCCGACTGCCAGCGATGTGGAATGCAAGGGAAATGCTAAATAGCGGCACGCTCTCCCCAGGAGATTCAGATAGACGAGATAAGGTGTCAAGGTATACATACACCCATCACTCGATAATCCAAGATGGCCGCAACCAGGCCCCAAACACTAGTCGGCAAAGTCGCCATTGTCACAGGTGCAACGAGAGGAATCAGCGCCGGGCTGGCTGAAGAATTGGCCCGCCGAGGAGCGAAAGTGAGTAGAGTATACCCCGATCCCTTCACCGTCTCTATCTAACAGTTCAATCCAATCAGGTCTTGATAACATGCACATCGTCAAGCAGTGAATCCATCGCAGACCAATTAATGGAGCACATCCAAAGCTTCAAAAACGGCGCAAGTGCAGCCAAAGTCCGCACCGATCTGCGCGAAATATCTGCGGGACAAACGATTGTCGAAGCCTCGATGCAAGCGTTCGGTCCCCACATTGATATCTTGGTTAACAACGCCGGTGTGGAGTTAGTGAAGCCCCTGTCGGATCTCACGGTGGAAGACTACAACCTCGTCTACAACCTGAACGTCCGCGGAGCCATCTTTCTAACACAGGCTGTTCTCCCACATCTGCGTGCACCCGGCCGGATCATCAATATTAGTTCGATCGGTGCACGGGAAGGAATCGCTAATCTGTCGACTTATTGCTCGTCTAAGGCGGCCTTGGAGGGCTTGACGCGGTGCTGGGCTGCGGAGTTGGGCGGTGCCGGGCATACGGTGAACGCTGTTAATCCGGGACCGGTGCACACGGCTTTGCTTAATAATATCCCGAAGGAGCTGGTGGAAATGCAGAAGTCGGTGACGCCCGTGGAGCATCGGGCTGGGACGATTGACGATGTGGCGCAGGTGGTGGCGTGGCTTGCTTCCGAGGAGAGTCGGTGGGTTTCGGGGCAGGCGATTGCTGCTTCTGGGGGGTACGCGATGCACTGATTCTTGGGTATGTTGGATGCTGGAGGTGGCAGATGAAGTCTAATAGACTATGGTAAACGGATGGTTGGGGTTTCAAGTGGTGTAAATGAGAGACCATGTTGAATATTCCATTTGAGTATAACTTGCTAATGAGAGACAAACACTGCTTGGATACTGTATCCACGGGCTGTGTGTGTGCAAAACAAACTATGTCTGCTTCTGACATGTATACGGTTACATATATGTGTGGCACCTCTGTATCCCCGATAAACATCAAATGTTTGCGATGGCCGCAGCTTCGGGATCGGTCACCATGTGAGCAGCATCAAAAGGCTGGTGTGTAATGGTGGTGCAGTTTCTTGTAGTCTTCCTACCAGCGAAGCGCCCATCAATAAAAGCTAACCACTCAGGGGCACTTGCAGTCAGCACATCAGAATGATCCATTCCGGGATACAACCTGAGGTGGGCCTCGTTCCCGTAGCGACAGGTGTCCTTGAACGAGTTAATAGTAGTCTGGGGCAAGACGGCTGTGTCATTCAAGCCCTGGATGATCATCATAGGCTCTCCAGCCTTGTCACCATTGGCGGGAGCGACCATATCCTGCCACTGCTGGAGCTCCGGGTTGTTCTTGATTGCTGGAGTAAAAATGTCTGAAGGTTTTAGCCCATAAGCAAGTGACATGATACCGTAATTACATGCTTGCGCCATGTCGGCAAGTTTTGTTCGGTTCTGGAGTGTTTCAGCAAACGGTGCGCGACTCATGTTTGGGAAGACACGCTCAATGGCAAATGGTAGCCAGGGTGTCTCATAGAGAATGTCGTACGATGCATAATCAGAGGTCTGAGATAGCAGTTCGGCACCAAGTAGGGTCATGTCGTAAATCTTGGAGGCAGGTGCTAATGCAACAGTGCCTAAGTACTTTCCGGCGGCTCCAGTTTGAAGCAACTCGCTCTCCGAAAGCTTCCAAACGGCACCACCTCCTTGAGAATGTCCAACACCCATCCATCCATCGGTAAAAAGCCCAGGGAAGGCTTTCCGAGCGGCAACCATACTATAGTAGAGATCATTGGCATGTGCAGGGAAACTAAGGTATTTGTGCTCCGTGTAATTGTTTCCGAGACCAGCATAGTCAGTCGCGATGATGGCGTAGCCCTTCTCAACGAAGATACTCCAGCTTGTATAGTCGTAGAGCGTTGGGGTAGTGGATGGCGGGCATCCAGCAAAGACGCCGATGGTGCCGTGGGCGTAGGCAATGGCCGGGTACTTTTTGTCCTTGCGGAACGATGTATAGGGTATTCCGATGAATCCGGTAGCCGGAACGGGGGAGCCGTCTAGGTTTCGAGACGTATATTGGAAGCGGTAGGCGGACATACCACTGAGAACGTCGAGGTCATCTGGGTCAATGGCTTCAAACTTCAACAGATCACCGGGCTGGGATCGGGAGAAATTGGATGCCGTGGCATAGAAGCCGAATTCAAAATCAGTCCCGAACAGCGTGCGGTCCTCAGCTTGCGCATAGTTAAAAACAGTCTGACAAGTAGTATCGCACCCGTAGGTCTCAAGGGTTGCAGTTGATAGGTTAAAGTTTGCAGCAGCTTTAGCAGCCGTCAAAGATGGGACGGCTAAGCCGAGAAGTATAGTCCATGCAAACATGGTTGGCCGTACAGAACTAGGATGGTAAGACACAAGCTATAGAGAGAGCGAGAGATAAAAAACACCTCGAGAAGATGGGACGACTCTCGTATTTTATAGAGTTCAAATCGGCAAAATCTCCATGTCGAGATAGGGTTTCTTCTCCAACGTACCCGACCCCGGATGCCACTATTCTAGTTTGGGCAACAATATCGCGAAAGTGGGGAAGGCCTAGAGCCTCGGGCAGTTGCATCCTGGATCGGCTTCGCATCGGCCGTTGTGACTTTGTCTCGTCTTTTCGAATGACTCGTCAAAACCACGTAACCCCTTCACTGGATGGCGATTGGTAGTGGTCGAATTTGGTAGAATGCCCTGTGGTGTCCATGATGGCCGTCGTCTCGGTCACCGGTGCGAACGCTGCCAGAGAGATCATAGCAAAGTATGCAGAGTATCCATAACCCCTGAACTTCTCAGTCATGCTGATCTACTTAGTGTGACGGATCTCGGCCATGTTTAGCATGCAAGCGAAAGGGAGTGGAGTGTGCCTCGCCCTGCACATCGAGATCCACGTTGTCCATTGTCCAAAGTCATCCTCCCCTTGACCCTCGGCCGTGTAAGCCGCTATCCACGGACAGACCTAGGCACTATACTAATGCATTCTTCTTTGCTCTTGGGCTCTCACCTACACTCCTTACCGTATTTTCTATCAATGCAATGACATCAATGATCCAGGAGAACAAGATACTTCAAGATACAGTCTCGTTGGTTGGGGGTTTCTATGCCTCTCGTAACTCGAATTTGCTGACATTCTCGAAGAACGAGAAAAGAGACCTAGTGGTTCAATGGCACCGGCTGCAGAAGTCTGTTGCACTCGGCATCAAAGAGGTGTCCAGTGATGGCAAATCAGATGTTCTTCTAGCCTGTGCTCTTCTGCTCAGTTTCGTTCAGGTAATGAATATTGGGTTGCGCATAGTACAGCAGTTTACGATCCTTGGCTTACAAACCCTAGATCCTGGATGACACTTCAGGGAGATCATGGTGTGCATGGGTTTACCAGTTGCATGCCTTTGTCTGGCGAAATGGGAAATCTGTCGCACCATTGACACCTCTCTTGCGGTCGATGCGCAGGTTAGCCCGTATCATGAATGCCTTGAGGGCTCTTTGTCTAGAGCAGGACCTCGACCTTGCCCTACCCGTTCGTTCGCACGATTTGGGTTCAAGGGTGGACCATCTGCCTCCGCATGGGCAGGATGCATCCGCATTGTTCGATGACCAGCTCCTGGACTACTTCTGCGAGGACCTGGAGATGTGGGCTAAGTTGCAGTGGCTGTGAGCAGAATATCACTTTTCGGGTATGCACAAGATTGAAACTAACATATTGCAGGACCGCAGATTGGAAAACCAAAAGTAAGGAGTTGGGTCTGCGGCTGGACCCAGAACTTCGCAAATCCCCGGGAAGAAGATTATCTGAACACGAATACCAGGGGGTAGAATTGACTTGTATTGCGTCCCGATTCCAGCGGGATATCATTGCCTCTCTGCTTTGGTACAGTAGCGAAAATGGCAGCAGTGTTACGAACATGCTGCTAGCGTTTTACCATTGCGTTAGCGTCGACATCTCCCTGATGTTTTGTGATTCGGTCTGGCTCTCTCTGAATTGTGAACTGCCAGTTATGACACACCAGATGAGCTATGAACAAGCGACCAATGCGCTGCAACATGCAGAAAAAGGCCTTCAAAGTTCATATCTTGAGGCTATTTTCTACGCCCCAACTTTGTATACAGTCAGCATGACGAGGAGATACAAGTCCGAACGGAGTCGCATAGTGAGTTTTATTAGCAGGCTGAAGCAGAAGGGATTTTTCGTTGCCGATCAGTTTTTATCCGTGATTGAAGAAGCATGGGCCGCTAGATGACAGCGATTTTGTATGATACCCACGGTAGAGCAGCAGGCTGTTCTGCATGTCTGGAATTCGAACATTATGAGTAGTGATGTGACTCCTCGGAGGAGAATTTGGTGGTCTCTTCTTTCGATGAGTTGGAGACAGAAATTCAATGCTATAATCGGAAAGATAGCAACATCACTCTATGCAAGTGAGTTGAGATACATGTAGATAACGAGAGGGAGAAAAGTTGCTGATCGATGCAAACATGCGACCCCACATGATGAGTGATGCCTGAGGTATCTGCCCCTCATTCCGTGCAGAAATTACATCACCGCCAATGGGAGCTCGTTTCTGTTCCACATCTTCGACCAGGGTACCGTCGAAGTCAATCCAAGCAACCAACTTCTATTCTAACTCATCCCCAAACCTGTTCTCATAAACTCGATCTCGCATAATGTCTGCCAAAACAATTATTGTCACCGGTGCCTCGAGAGGTCAGCAACACGACACCAGAACCGTCAATACGAGATATATTAACAAAAATCTCCTGCAGGCATCGGTCTCGCGATCGCCAAGTACCTCCTCACCTCCCCTCAATCGCACAACGTCGTCGTGATCGCTCGGAGTGTTGAGCCCCTCCAGAAGCTGAAGGAGCAATACACCAAGCAGGTGGAGGTGCTCAATGGCGATCTTACCGATCTGTCCATCGGCCAGAAGGCCGTCGACCTAGCCCTCAAGTCCTTCGGCCGTTTGGATGGAATGGTTCTGAACCATGGTGTGCTGGGACAAGTGGGCAAGATTGCTCAAGCAGATCCAGAGCAGTGGAAGCACGGATTCGACGTAAACTTCATCAGCTTTGTTGCCTTTGTGAGTTCATGAGTTTCCTGGCAGGGTGCCAAGGCGGATGGATATTAATTGGTTGGGCAGGTCAAAGCTGCTCTTCCAGCACTTCGTGAGACGAAGGGCAAGCTTGTCTTCACATCTTCCGGTGCTTCCGTGTCAGCTTACAGAGGATGGGGTCTGTATGGAGCAACCAAGGCAGCGATGAACCATCTTGCGCTTACCTTGGGCGAGGAAGAGCCTGACGTTACGACGATCTCGATTCGGCCCGGAATGGTTGATACCGAAATGCAGCGCGAGCTGCGAGAAGACCATGCTACAACACTGGAACCCCAGGTCCACTCCAAGTTTACTACGGTTCACAAGGATGGAAAACTCCTCAAGCCGGAACAGCCTGGCCATGTCATGGCCAAGTTGGTGCTTGATGGCCCCAAGGACTTGTCGGGTAAATTTCTATCGTAAGTTTCTACAACTCTTAATCTTACGGCAAAGCTGACCCAAGCAGGTGGAATGACAAGGCTCTCGATGCCTTTCAGGCATAAATTACAACCTATCAGCTTAATAGACAGTTAGCATAAACCGCCTTTCGAGAAAATGATACATATAGAACAGTAAATTGGGGTAGTAATCAGCCGAAAGATGAAAAGCAGGTACATTTTCATAAGCATTAGATGCAGAGCACCTTCATACTTAGCATGGAATGTGTATTTGTTCATCATACAAAGTTGTGGATATAAGAAAAAAGCTCGAAGCTTACCTTGTCAAATAGGTTCGTCGTAATGTGATCCGATTCTTGAGCCATGGAAAATTCCTAGATTACTTCAGGACCGTTAGCGAAGGCCACAAAACTTCTTCACGACAAAATAGACGAGTGTGAATAATTTTCAGTAGTCCGTTTGGCTTGGACAGTGTACGTCACCATGAAAGGTATGATAGGGGCGACAACATTGTTCATCATTGTAGTAGAAGGAATGTAGCAAGGTAAATAAACATACCATTTATGTTAGTACTGCACACGGCTGCAGTTCGAAGAGTTTTGAATTCCTCAACATCAAAAGGACATTCTCGCTTCCCATTGTTGTGGGAAAAAGCGTGTGTGGAAGAGAACAGGGAAAAAAAAAGCTGCAGAGCTAAGAAATACTCCCCAAAGCGGTAGGATTCTGCCGCCAGTACCCACTGGTTGTTCCGTGCCGACGCAGTCCGCGTCTGGCATTCGATCGACGCTACTATTTATTGTAAGTATAGTCCCCGCGCATTGGGAAAAAAAGTGATCCTTCACCTTGACAACAGCTTCTCTGTGCGTGCGAGCGTGTTTCTCTCCCAACAATCTCACTTCAATAAGGGACATCATGTCGGATCGCGAATTTAGTTGTAAGTATTGTGTTCCTGGGTCTTGGCGCATGCTGTTGGAATGGAGCTGACGCTGATCTACTTCAGCGAACGATGACCTGTCGCTTCCTAAAGGTATGCATCCGAGTCACTCAGTATTGATTGTTCCAACCTCCTAGCCTGAGTGTCGCTACGCTAAATCTCTCGACTACGCGTACTTTGTCGCTTGAAGATGGCGACATAACATCTCTACGTATCTACTGCCAGCGCACCCCATCCTAACTGATCGCGATTATCTAGCGACGGTCCAAAAAATCATCACCGAGATTCTACCCCCTTCTTCCGGCCAGACCTTCTCCAAAGATGCTCGCGATCTCCTGATGGAATGCTGCGTCGAATTCATCACCCTGATCTCCTCAGAAGCCAATGACATCAGCGAGAAAGAGGCCAAGAAAACAATCGCCTGTGAGCATGTAGAGCGGGCTCTGCGTGATCTTGGGTTTGGCGATTATATCCCCGACGTGCTTGCTGTGGCAGAGGAGCACAAGGAGCAGTTGAAGGTGGGTGGAATCACTACGTGCTGTGTCTAGCGGGACGGACTTGCTAACGCGTATATTGCTTTCTAGTCGCGAGAAAAGAAGCAAAGCAAGATGGAGCAGAGTGGACTGTCGGAAGAGGAACTGCTACGACAGCAGCAGGAGCTGTTCCGCTCTGCTACGGAGAAGTACCACGCTGCCCCGGAGTAAATACCTGGGTTGGGTAACTGAATATGAAATGCGTTTGACTCTTGCTGGCCATAGAGGGAACGGGCTCGGAGTTTTGTCTTTCGGCTGAAGAATCTCGGAGTTTAGGTTGTCTGGGATTGAAACCATGGTTTCTGAACGGGTTGGTTGGACTTTTATTTGTCCTTTTAAGTATAGTTGCATTGATATCTCGACCTTTGCCATTCAGGATACGATATACTTGAACGTTTGTAATACCAATGGTGTATGGGTTGTAATCTTACGATATTAACATACCTTTCCTACTTGCACAGGATTGAGCGATACATGAATATTGAAGCATGAAGCTTTTGATGCTTAGACATGCGGTCAGCGGATCAATAAGCAGATTGTATGTAGTGTCGTCCGTTGTGTGTTAATAATGGTAGATTGAGTGATGTACAGTACACCTCTAAGTGGAAGCACCGACGTGACGGGCGCGCTTAGCCCGAACGGGTAACCGCCCAACCTCCCGCGCGCGCAAAGTGTCGCCCGCTGCAAACACCGCGGAGCATCCTGAGGCCGCGAAAGCATTGCGACGATTCCCCAAGCCTCATCGTCCACGATGCCGCCTTTCAAAGATGAGCACATTTTGGTACGTCACCCTCCATTCACTGCGGTCCCGAAACCCGGATTCATCCCGTACTAATCCCCGTCCCTCTAGATAATTGCGCCAGGCTCCCAGGTGACCCTGGCGCAACTGGGTCTTCCCGAATCATTCACACCCGCTCGCTATCGCTTTCCCACGCGGATGTTCCCTGCCGAAAAGAAGGGCGAATTTGAACCATATAAGATCCGTGAGCGGCGACAGGAAGGGAAACCTAGCAATGGGACGGACGCGCCCAAAGAGGATGTGGAGATGAAAGATGCGGAACCCTCCGCTCCAGAAGGCACAGGCAACAATGAGACCGCCCCCAAGCCCGAGAATGGAGAGCAAGAGGGCAAGAAAGAGCCTGCCGAAGGCCAGGAAACCAACGGGGAGACGAAAAAGGAAGCCCAGGAGATCTTCTACGAGGAGGATGTTACATCAGATGAGGGGGCTATCTACCCCATCGAGAATGGGCACATTGTCGACTGGCCGTGCTTTTTTGCCCTCCTAACACATGTCCACAATACTCTCAGCCCTCCATTTCACACGCCGATCATGCTTATCTCCCAACCGGCTTGGTCAGCGCGCGACCGGGAGGCAATCACGCAGTTTGTGTTTGAGAAGTTTAAGACGCCCGCCTTCTGCATGATGGATTCTGCTCTCGCCATCTGCTATGGATACGGTACCTCGACTGCGGCGGTTGTCGATGTTGGCAAAGGGAAAGTGGACGTTACCGCCGTCACTGATTTCCTGGTCAATGAGCATGGACGAGGGATTGCCCTGCAAGGTTGCGGTGGAGATTACATGACGGACAGACTTCAAGAACTGCTGGGGTCAAAGGGCTTCTCAAGAGAAATGTGCGAGCAGTTGAAGAGGAGTAATATTACCGAGATTCTACCAGCTGGAACGCCCTTGCCTGGCACCGCAGCCACCGCACGACAGAACCCTAACCCTGCCGCCTCAGCTTCTACGGGAGGACAAGAGGGAGGTCCCAACGATGCCGTTCCCCGCGGCCCTGGCGAAGGTACTCAAACTGGCCCGGAAGGCACCAATGGAGAAGATGAGGATGAAGGCGTGCTGGATGTTGCAGCTATTGTCAGTGGCAACACTAGCGAGTTCCTAGCAAACCGAGAGAAAGAGAAAGCGGAGAAATCGAGTACGAAAAAGGGCTCGATTGACCAAGGTGGGAAGCCTATTCGTCTTCCCAACTCCAAGAAAGAGAAGGCCTCGTTCCAATACGAGGAGTACGCGCGATTGGAGCCGGAAAAAGATGCGCCCAACGCTCCTCCACGATACATCCGCCAGACAAGAGAGATCGAAGTCGGTGTTGAGCGTTTCTTGTCTGTGACTCCGAAGCAAAAAACCGGGGAGCGTTTGACCAGCAATATTCTTGAAGATATTGCAACGCAAATCCACCACACTATTCTTGCTGTGCCCGATGCCAGCAAGCGCAGCGAACTTTGGGATTCGTTGGTCATCGTTGGTAACGGGAGTAAGATTAAAGGTATGTACCTTATTTTTGACCTAGTATGGCCAGATTCGCTAATCAACGGATGTAGGATTCACCCAAGCTCTGCTTAACACCATCACACAAAAGTTCGTTCTCTCGCCATCTGCCACTATCTTCACTTCTGAGCTCCCTTCCAATTTCTCCACCCCTATGCCGACCGGAGGAACCAACACTCCCGCACCTGGTCAAACCGGACCGTACAATGCCCACGGCGTGAACCCCCTGCTGGTTGCTGCAACACATTCGAACAACCCGGCGGCTGGAAACATGCCCCCAGGAACCCCATCTATGGATCCTTCTATGGCTTCCCACTATCGCTCTACCGGCCATTCTCAGACCCCAACCTCCGTCAAAACCCTGAAGCCCCCAGAGTACTTCCCCGAGTGGAAGGAGCACGGCAACTCCAATGCTCCTGGTACCAGCGGGTCTGCAGGAATGAGCAACGGTCCCAACGCTGGGCCTGGTGGCCCAGGTGCGCCAAGTGGCGGTCATGGCATGGAGGAAGCGGTATTTCTAGGAGCCCAAGTCGCTTCTAAGGTTGTTTTCGTTATTGATCAAGGGCTCAGTAAGGGATTCATGACCCGTGTGGAGTATAATGAGAATGGGCCCTCTGCAATCCATGAGTATTCCATGTGATTGTCATTAATAGAATTAGTATATGGAATTCAACACTTTGTCTTCTGTCAACCAGAGTTGAATTCAACAAGAAAATGGTTTCTTTCGTCTGGGCTTGTCTAATGCGTTGGAGCTTGTTGAACATGACACTTGGTCTTCTCACATATGGTTATTGTATTCTACGTGTTGGCGTCCTTGATTAGAAAAGCAACCCTTTGTCAGGATGCGGTAGGATAGGTGGAGTCTGGTTGGAAATCCTAGGTATAGTACTAAATACGACTATTTTTTTTCTTCCCAAATGTGCTTTAATCAAATCGTTCCAGGACCATGTCCATACTATATAATATTCAGTACTATTCGTAGTATGTATGGCCTTGGTCTGCCTGAGGTGCAGATTGAGCCAGATCTGCACTAACCCGATCTGGATAGCGACCTTTCTAGAACACCACGTGACTAGGATAAGGATGCTTATCTTATTTCCGCCTCAATCTGTCTCCGCCGTCGCGACTTTCTCCCAATATCAGATTTATATGACCAAGAAAGACTGAAAGAACAGCTGATACCTACGCCTTTCACCTGAGCCGCAGAGCTCCCATTGTACTTCCAACCAGTCTCACAGCTCACATACGGGGCTACGCCACCCAACATCTCCCAAAATGCCGCGCGCGGAAGCAGGAAGCACGAAGGCAATCAGCAACAAGATCAAATCTGTACGCCCCATCTAACCCGCTGCAAGCATACAAGACTGAAAATGTACTAACCAAACACAGAAAGGCCTTCAGCGACTCCGATGGTACTGTCAGATGTGCGAGAAGCAATGCCGTGATGAGAACGGATTCAAATGGTAAGTGAACCATTGTCTCTTCTCGCATGGCGCTCTACTAATTACTAATTCCTCAAACGTAGTCACACCCAAAGCGAAAGCCACGTGAGAAATGCTCTTTTGGTTGGCGAGGATCCGAGAAAGTATATCGAGGAGTACAGCAAGGACTTTTTGAATAACTTCCTTACTCAGTTGAGGACGTCTCACCAGGAAAAAGCTATACACGCCAACATATTCTACCAGACTATCGTCGCGGATAAGACGGTGAGTTTTTTCTTCTTTTAATCTGCGTTTCGCGTGGGATGAAGGCTAATAAATATCTCCAGCACGTACATTTAAATGCTACAAAATGGAAGAGCCTTACGCAGTTTGTCGCTTATCTTGGACGGGAAGGGCTTTGTCGTGTTGAGGAGACTGAGAAGGGTCTTTTCATTGCGTATATCGATCGGAGTCCAGAGGCGATGAGGCGGAGAGAAGCTCTTTCGAAGAAAGAGCGTCAGGATCGCGGTGATGAGGAGAGAGAGCAACGACAGATTCAGGAGCAGGTCGAGCGCGCGAGACAAAACGCAGACAAGCAGGAGGAGGAGATAGATCCTGAGGCGAGGAATCTGCAGCGCAAGGAGGGCGAGAAAGTCAAGCTTAATATTGGCTTTGGTTCGAAGGCGAACGGCGAATCGAAGACCGAATCCCCGAAACCACAATCTCCCGAGGAAAAGGATAACGCCGCTTCAGCAACACCGGAGCCTGCCGCTGCTTCTGCATCTCCGGATCCGGCCCCAGTCCTGACCCCGGCTCCTGCTCCTGCCCAGGACGCGCCAAAGCCGGCAGTCAAGCTGTCCATGTCGTTGGGTGACAAGAAACCGAAGAATGTGTTTGCTGCTGCCGTGAAGAAGAACCCCCTTGCCGGAAAGAAGGGCCCTGTGATGGAAGCTCCCAAGAAGATGAGTGAGCAGGAGAGGATCATGAAGCAGGAAATGGAGGCAATGGAAAAGAAGCGCATGCGCGGTGGATTCGGAATGCCGAACCCTAAGCGCCCGAAATTGTCTTGAAGTCGACATATCTCTGAGAATTCCCTTCACACAAGTCCAATAGCAATTTGGATCCTTGACGACTGTCGTCTACCACGTCACACCGATCCCATAGATCTCCGGGGAAGCTGATCATGATAGTTAAATGTCACCAAATTTGTCCAAACCGCGTGGTTGCGGTTACGGAGAATGATCACTTCCTTATGACACATGGTTTGACACTGATTGGTCTGCAGAGACATCATTTCTGAGCCCAAAAGTTTTCCCAAGTCTACTGTATCACAAACCAGTGAATAATGATACCCAACAAGAAATATATGTTAATTGAGTCTGTTCATGGAGCAAGAATATAGTTTTTAGCGAGCCCTGAAGGATTGCTTCCGACCTAGGCATATCTTTAGTTATTGAAAGACACAATAAATTCCATTCTTAGCATGTTAGATGATGGGAATCCTCCCTGGATATTTCCTTGTCGCAAAAGCAACAGGTACCTTGTAGAACCATAACAAATAGACCCAAGTCGCCGGCTCTCCCTGGAAGTTCACATACACATCACGTGTTAGTCCAAACAGTGGCATGTTAGTAGACTTGACCCTAGCAACTAATGTCAAGACATCGTGCTTTTTTAAGCATGTTCCCCGAATTCGTGCTCTGAATTTAATACAACCTGAATTCTGTCAGCATTCGCTCATCTCGCTGACTCAACCGGATCACACACCCAGATCTGAACATCGTTCTTACCAGCCCTGAGAACGAACCTCACTTCCTTTCTCCTCTTGCAACAAGCTAGTGTGACAACAGCCCACAGGGTAGTTTACGGTACTACAAACACCATTCTACATAATTTGAGTTGTTTAGATAACGGCCACTAATATTCTCTCAACGCTTCCACCATCCTCTACAAGAGCCGCTTTAACAAGAAGCCTCGGGACTTTCCGCCGGTGCATCATGGAAATATCTGTAAGTCATAATTAACATCATCACACTGGACAACAGGGTCTGATCGGTGTCTAGGCTGAGGAAATGCCAGAAGGATGGACCAACGACCCTGCAATGCTCAGGTTACATTCTCATCCTGAAGGCTCAATAAACACTATCGCCGAATGGCATAGACTCGGAGATATCGAATTACTAATGATGGGAACCCAAAGCTCGGGGAATTTGCAGTTTATAATCCAGTCAGGATGTTGTTACTACTGGGGGAATCTGATGATCGACGATATCTTTGAGATCAGGAAGCCGAAGACCTTCCCGGAAATTCTGCATGCTCTTGCCACAAAGGGGCATTTTGGATTGAAGTATAAGAAAGTGGAAAGAATACCAGAAGGATGGACCAACGACCCTATTATGCTTGAGAGATATTCTCACACTGGTTCCTCAGTATCCAGTATTGCCCAATGGTATGGACTGGAGAATATCAAAGTTGTATTGATGGGAACACGAGAATCCGGGGATATGAAGTTTATACTCATGTCAGGAGGTCGCTACTACAGAGGTAATCTGATGATCGATGATATCTTTGAGATCACCAAGCCGAAGACCTTCCCGGCAATTCTGCATGCTCTTTACAGAAGGGGGGATTGGGCCTTGACGTATAATAAAGTCAAGCAGGTAGAGGAAATCTAGATGGTGTTCCGGTAGCAGAGGCTAGTTGATAAAGAAGTCACGGGTTTCAAGTCTGTTGGTTCCTTCCAATCCCGACGCTCCTTCTGAATCGGGCGAGTGCGAGCAATACCTACTACTCGTCCACTGCATTTGTTGTCTGTTGTAGCCTTGTACAATCGACTAGAGACTCAGTATCCTCAAAGATACTTCACTATGGCTGAGCGACTTATTCCCTGGCTGAATGGCCGACTGGATCCTCGCCAGGCGTACACGTTCGACCGTAACCATATCACTGCGATGTTGCAAAACATCGTACTTTCCCCTGGTGTATACGGCGTTCCCGCTCAGAATGTCGCCAGACTGATGTCCATACACCAGGATATCACTCGTCTTCGGTAAGCTATTACTAGGGAGGCAAATGTATCTTAATATAACTGACCTAGATAAAAGGTGCCCAGATGGTCAAGATTACCTCGCCCCGGCACCACCGCAGAATATCGACCGCCAAGTTCATCCCCGTTGGCCTAGAGGGATCGCAAGGTTCCAGCTTAGAAGGTCGACCTACGATGGAGTCGAGTACTGGGCACTCCCAGACCTCCTTGGGCTCTTTTTGAGCTCTTTGGGTCCGGCTCCAATCGGGGCGACGAAGCGGAACTTTTACCTCCCGGTCACGGCTGTGTATGGACAGTGGTGTACCAAGCTCCTTACCGGGGTGATGCCAAGAGTATATCAGTGTTCTTGGACAGACACGAGGGAGTTCTCTCTTGGTGCCTCCAGAGGAGGCTTTGCTGTCCAGGATGATATAGGGTCCTGGCTGGCCGTCTTGGATCGTGCTCGGTACGGCATTATAAGGTCTCCAGCGCTACAGATCACTTGGTCGCAGACGTGGACTCCTAATCTCCGGAGAGTAGGGAGCACGGCTGGCCTTTGGTCGTTGTGCTGAGACCTACCCCTTTCGAAAACTTCTCATGTACGTGCCACCTTGTGCTACACCCAGAAACTCTTATTAACAAATCAAAAGGGTAAAGCGAGAGAAGGGGCAGGGTGTATGGATTGGCTTTATGCATCAATTACATAACGTCCGTACCTGTTTACGATGATCAACTGTCTGGAAGGATCTGGCGCAACGTAGCATGGAAGAGGATAGGGAAGAGTATATACTACAGTCAGAGGTTGTCAGGAAAGGGCTGGAGCATACACAGAAGGCTGCTGATCTGTTTGCTCAAGACGCTAGTTGTGTTTTTAGAAATTTATCTTCCTATGCTTTGCCGTGGTAATGAACAGAAATATATATCTTGATTCTCTGCACCGACAGTAGCTTTTGATAAATCTATAATTAACTTAAGTAAAGGTATATCCTTTGAGTCTTTTGAAATATCCGAACACTTTTTACATCCAGGAAACGCTATAGATATGTCTGTTTTGCAACGTAGACACAGATTGAAGCCCACTAAAGTGACAGGAAAAGTGGGACCAGGTTCATGCCAGCGATTCGCGCTAACTTGGATCGAGCCCTGAAGTTCTATCGATAGGACCCACTTGTTTAGCCAGACCTTGAACTGTCACTGCATAACTGTGGTCTGCTATGTCTAAGATCATGTAGAAATATTATTATCATAAAAAACAACATAGCGCATGTGGCGATTCAGTCTCTATTCCAAGTAGTTTTGTTCAAAAGGGATAATTAGCAGAGAACGTGATATGATGTCGCTGAATAGCTAACAGAAGCCCTAGTTGAAACCCACAAAGGCGAAGATAAGTCTCTGAGCTATTCAAGAGACTGAGATTATCCGTACTATAGTTACTTACTAAATATTAGCCGTGGATTAACAATCATGAACGAAGACATGATTGCCACCTGAGGCGGAAACGTTAGTCAGCCGGAGCTGCCCACGTGATCGAGCTATCCAGAATCTTCAAGGAACAGCTCTCTCCAGACATCTCCGCATGGTACGCGCCTCACCTGTCCGGACATAATCTAGTTAGGTCATCTATTACTTTTGCTTCAATCCTGACCGGAAGCTTTTCTTTCATTTCTCCATTTTTAAATACCCAATTCAAAGAAGCGGCCCCCGCGCATAACCTCGTAGCAATGGCCAACTATCTCGCCTCCATCTTCGGTACGGAGCAGGACAAGGTCAACTGTTCGTTCTACTATAAGATCGGCGCATGCAGACACGGCGACAGGTGCTCTCGGAAGCATGTCAAGCCTTCGTATTCGCAGACAATCTTGATGCCAAACATGTACCAGAATCCGGCATACGACCCAAAGAACAAGATGAACCCCAGCCAGCTCCAGAACCACTTCGATGCTTTCTACGAGGATGTATGGTGTGAAATGTGCAAGTACGGAGAGCTGGAGGAATTGGTAGTGTGTGACAATAACAATGATCGTAAGTTGGAGCTATTTTCCCTCCCAAGACTCGACTCACGGAGCTGCTACTAACCTCTATTTACCCCAGATCTTATCGGCAACGTCTACGCCCGGTTCAAGTACGAAGAAGATGCGCAAAAGGCCTGCGACGCTTTGAATTCCCGCTGGTATGCAGCGCGACCGATATATTGCGAGCTATCGCCGGTGACAGATTTCCGAGAAGCATGCTGTCGATTAAATAGTGGCGAAGGCTGTGTGCGTGGCGGATTCTGCAATTTCATTCACCGGAAGGACCCTGGCAATGAGCTCGACCGGGAACTGCGCCTGAGCACGAAGAAATGGTTGAAGGAGCGCGGCAGGGATGCCCGCAGCGTCAGTCGCAGTCCCAGTCCGGAGCCGACGAGGCGGAGATATTAGGTGTGGCTTTGCTTTTTGTGTTCTGCATGTGGCGTTGGGGAATTGACCTCTGTCGAACTGTAATTTCTTCTATACTGTTATGATATCAAGCCCTGGTTGCGAGATTTATGGCATTCAAATTGTCTCCGGTTGAAGCTTTTCCCTGTAGAGTACTCCGTACCTTTGAACCATAAGGACGGTCCATTTAAAGCTGCTCGGCATTACCCCATCGGGAAGTAAATGTTGGTCTTGGCAACCGACGCGGGAGGCGCGTAGACCGCGTTGCAACATCTCTTCTGTACTGCTTTTCCCCCGCAAAACCCCTCGCTGATCTCGCTGCCATAACGATATCCTCTTCATTCAGTAGACTGTACATAGCCAATATGGCGAGCCGTAGTGATGGGGGTGGCTATGACGATAGCAACCGCGCATTTCTGCAAGCTTTTATGGCCCGCTCCACCATGACCTTTGCGGAGGCACGGCCTGTTCTGGCGGCTATTTTCTCTGTGCAAGGTACATTGTTGAGCTTCCCTAGCGATCCATAGTGAGACGTTGAGCTAATGTCATATGCCGAGCAGAAGACGAACCTGTCTCTGCGGAAGATGTCACCGAGGACGATCTCGCATCGTACATTGCCGCCGCAAATACCACCATCTCACCATTCGATTTGGAAATCAGAAGCACACTCCGCCAGTCGCAGGTAGATCCCGAGGGATCGGGGACTCAGACGCCGGAACGGGTGTATGCCCTTGTCAATACCACCAGCGACGCCTTGACACAGCTGGCGACTACTTACAGCGCGGACGAGATTGCCTTCGTCAAGCGCATCCTCGATGCCATGTTCGATACGAATAATACGAGACGGTCCGAGGCAATGGTTGTGAGCGGCATGCAGGCGATACAGTTGGCCAAGGCCTCGTCCGGAGATGCAAGTCGCCGGGAGTCGAATACCGCGACGCAGAGTCAAGGCGGGGCCGCACAATCGCTAAGCATGTCGCAAGCGGAAACGGTGCTGAAGCAGCTCGTGGAGGAGGGCTGGCTTGAAAAGAGCAGGAAGGGATTTTACAGTCTAAGTCCGCGAGGGTTGATGGAACTACGAGGCTGGTTGGTGGCGACGTACAATGATGAGAACGAGGATGGCCGGAGGATGGACAAGATCAAGTTCTGTGCTGCCTGCAGGGATATTATCACGATGGTGGGTTATGACTTCGTTAGGTATTGGTTGCAGAAAGCTGCTGACTGCTTAGGGCCAACGTTGTGGCAACCGTGACTGTCCGGGCCGACTCCACGACCATTGTATTCGCAACTTTTTCCGTATGCAACAGGCGGAGCAGTGCCCTGTGTGCCAGGCTTCATGGCCTGGTGATAAGTTCGTTGGGGAGCGCGCAATCACAGTGACAGAACGCTATATGCAGGGCAGAAGACGAAGCACGAATACGCAGCGTCAAAGCGATGTCGGATCGAGCTCACAAATTCCTAGCGAGGATGGAGCGGCTGACAGTGATTGAGGCTAAGGAGTGACTTGAGATTCCTGTTGCCCCGTAACGGCTAATGAGGGACCAAAATCCGCGGGGTTCACGACGTCGCAAGATATCCCACCGTTGTGCAGCCATGAGCCGTGCCTAAGTATATCGCGGTGGGCTGCGCAGCACCATCGAGTCGCAACATCTGGCTCAGATCAACCATTTTATCGGCAGAGCGAGTTCCTACAAGACCCCTGATCGATCGACTATACTAGAGTCAACTAGCAGAGGATCAGCGCCGCATTAAATGCTCAGTGCTCCGTACACCACATCAGAGCTGACCTCATTCAAAGCCACACAAAGATACCATCGAATGAAGGGAAGACGGCTTCATGAACAGAACAAGAATACAATATGTACAACACACCATGAAATGCAAAGCATGCTCTCATGAATCAATACTGAAACATTATCATCAGACCAATCGCAACAGCCCACACCTTCACCATCCCACTTCTCACCCTCATAGTATTCCCACTGTTCCCCCTGACACACGTCCCATCCTTACAGTGAGCCCCGCTAAAGCAACATTTGCTCCCACAACATTGCGTATCCTTGGGACAATTGTAGCCACTCTCCCCGCAGCAGATACCATATTCCGTATTGTAGCAAGCAGAACTTCCGCATTTCGCATTTCCGGTCGGGCAACAGTAGCCATCAGACGGATCGACGCAGTTGCTGAAGTTGGGGCAGCAGTGGTTTCCGCACTAGTCACAAGGTTAAAAGATGGACCTTCAGACCATAAAGATCATCAAAAGACAAGACATACGCAGGTCGAGAGTGTGGAGCAACACCTTTGTCCACAGGATTCTACTCAAGTTAATACGGTTCGACTAGTTGTGAATGTAAACTGAGAACATACTTTCTCCGATATCGCAGTCTCCCTCTCGAGAGACGAGACTCTTTTCGACCGAGAAGCCGAACTGCACATTGTCCGCGAAAAGAATGGAGTCGAAGCTCGCATTGACATACGCCTCGGGTGCTTAGATGGACTGCATGGCTGTGTACAATCCTTTATCTGAGCTTTACAAAGTAGATATGAAGTACTGAGAGAGTCCATGTGGAGCGCATACTTCCCCCACCTATATACACCAAACGCCCTAGTAACGCTTGGCTTCGTCGCTCCAAGCACATCCACTCCATTAGAGAGCCGCATGAATATGTAACAGCACATCGAACCTCGGACATAGGCATCGTATCTGCGCCAAGAACGCCCCGTGCCCGAGGACCCTTTTCCCATGGTGAAGATCCCTCGTATTTTGTCCATGTGGTGGGGCGTTAGTGCGTTCAGCCTTGTGCTGGAGCCTGGGGGAGTATAATATGGTTCTTTGACTCATTGGCGTCTTGTCGGACGTCGATCGTTGAGAGTTGGACTCTAGGCGGAGGTCGGTATGTGAAGTAGATGTAACAGACAAGAGTATATGGAAACCATATAACCAGATCATCGAAATGAAGTCGCTAAGCACGTTGACAGGTTTCACTAACCGGCAGTTTTTTATTGAAGGGATGACTTGTGGAAGTATTTGGTTTGATGTGTAGGCATCGGCGTTGAATAGGGCTTCGATCTCTGGCAACTTGTGTCAAGACTCCCGTGAAAACCAGACCGAGAAATGAAAGTTCAAGTATTCCTAATGAAGATATGTGAAATAA